CTGTTACTGGAGGGACCTTGCTTGGGTCTGTTGCCCTGCAGTCCAGGGGTCTGTTTCGATGTCCATGACCCATGTTACCACCAAAGACCATGTGACCATCCCTGATCTGGGCTATTTCTGGGGGCTATGTTGTTGTCTGAGGCTTGCCCAGAGCTGGCCCTTCCCCTCGCCTGAGCAAAGAGGAAGAGCTGGCCCTGGTGGTGCTGGTGCTGACCAACTCGGCTACCACCCAGGCCCAGATTCAGGGTTTTGAGTTAGCCGACTCCAACATCTACCCCATCTATGAACTGCTGGAGGGCATGAAGGGGATTGGTTCTACAGATCCAAAGCTGCAGGATCTCCACGTCACAGCTTCGGCAGGATAGCCAAGAGGAGTCCCAGTGAGGATTCAGTATGACAGTATTGCAGAAGCCAGAGGCCTTAAACCAGACAAATCACTCATTGCAATGAACATTTGCAAGTAAAGCTGTTTGGGTAAAAGGTAAATAAATACTGTGAGACACACCATAGCTTTCATGGGAGATGTTTTTTTTTTTTCTGTTGTTGTTTTTCATTGTTTTGTTTTTTGTTTGTTTGTTTGTTTGTTTTGTTTTCCTTTGTGGGGATGTTGCAAGGGCAGATATGGAGGGGCAGCAAGATGAGTGGGATTTAGATGCGAAATTCACACACACACACACACACACACACACACACTAAAACAAAACAAAACTCGTGTAGATCTGCTAGCCATCACTCCCCCACAGGGGTCATAATCAGTCCCCTACTCATTTCACAAAGTGTCCCCTTCCTTCTTAAAATGAACCACTTCCTTTGTTTGGGTGAGACACCAATGCTAATATCAATATAAATAGTTGTGAGCCACTTCTCCTAGCTTCTACCTATTCTCTGGGAGCAGAAGGAAAGACGGACAACCCAAGTTCTATTCCCAGAAACCATGTTGTGTGTCTCATAACCACCTGTAACTGTGGCTACAGAAGGACCTGACACTTGGCACCTGAACTCACACCCTCTCCCATAATTGAAATTGAAAATTTATTTTAAAAGAATTAACTTCCATTTCCTGTGTATCAGACAATTCAGAGTTCTGAGGGAGCAACAAATGACTCAGCAAAAAGACCGAAAGAAATTGGCAGTTGATTGGATTTTTTTTTTCAACAGGATGTCAAGCTGTTAACACTTAAACCAAGAGCTGAATATTTCAAGACTCTGGGAGCCCACTTGTCACCCAGCATGTTTGGTGCTCATCATGCAGCATGCTGACATGTCTTCTGAAGTGCATCTCAGCATTCTGGGAAATTCTTCCCTTTAAGGGGCATCTGGATCCTTTGCCGTGGGAAAGGTTGATCACTCTGCCCTCCTTCCCTCCTCACAGTGACTGTTGTAGTCAGCTTGGATGGATTGAAAGACATACTTCAGATTGGATGACTGAATGAGAATTCCTGAAGAGAAGTTGTGTCTGGTTGTGAACAATAGGCTCCTGGGAGGATCGGGTCTGCAGAGACTGATGGTCTGGCTGGAATCTTAGTACTGTGGAGAAACAGGAGTTTTGTAGGTTAGAGGCTAATTCCCTTATCTTGGGATAGTTTTAGCTTCTGGAACAGCCATTCCTTGGCCCATTCTGTAACTAACACCTCATGATAATAAATAAAAATCTCTTAGAATCTACTAAACAATCCAAGAGCTAAGACTGTCATCAGATAGCATCTTGGGCCTGTAAAGCCCCACCCCTGAGCCTTTAAACCCCACCCCTGAGCCTTTAAACCCCACCCCTTGGCCTGTAATCTTCATCCCTGGGCCTGTTAACCCCACCCTCATCTCATTATACCCACTTCTCTCATGTACCCATGGAATTTAGGGTAACCTAACTCTGTGTTCCTGCCCATGGTCACTCATAATGGCTCCAGAATAAACTATCTCTTATTCTATTTAATGATGTGGTTTTTATGTCCATCTCTCTTAAATGATGAAATTTGTTTTTCAAGTTCTGGAGTCTAGGAAGTTCAAGATTGATTTATTTTCTGGGGAAGACTCTCTTCCTGGCTTCTATATGGTCACCTTGTCATTGTGTCCTCATGTGGCCTCAAGGGAAAATTGACTCTCTGACATCAATCTGTTCCTATTAGGCTCCTACCCTAATGGTTATTTAACCCCATTTACTTCTGTGGAGTCTCTTTCTCCACATACAGCTACAGACAATTAGGACATCAGGCCACAGGTTTGAAATAGGAGTGGGGAGTAATTGAGTGCACGGCAGTATTATTTCCCAAAGTCAGAGCTGGATCAGAGGGAAAGCTTTGGAGCAGAGGAGGTCATGTGTCTAGTCTGCTAGCCTACCTGGGGGGATGGGGAGTGCTAGTGTAAGTCCCACTTATTCTGCCCAGCTCATTGGCCGCTAGCATCTTTATTGATAGATCAAGAACCAATTAGGGAACAGGACCTTCAGTGTTCACCCACAGGACCACAGTGTTCCTGATCAACGCATCAGAACCACCTTCCTCTGTGTATGTGTGTGTGTGTGTGTGTGTGTGTGTGTGTGTGATGGTCTCACACACAGAGAGGGGGGTATGCATGTGTACAGTACAAGTATGGGCACATGCACAGGGGCACAGAGGTCAGGGGAGGACTTCATTATCCTTCCTTATGGCTCTCCACTTTCCCTCCTGAGACAGGATCTCTCATTCAATCTGGAACTTACTGTTTTTCATTTGTTCTTGACTAGGCCTTTGGCTAGTAGTCCCCAGTGATCTTGTCTGTCCCACCGATGCTGGGATTACAGGCTCACAAGGCTATGGCCAGCTGTTTATGTGTGTACCAGGGATCTCAGGCCCTCAGGAGCTCAGCAAGTGTTCCTTCCAAGCTGAGCCACCTCCCTGCCCTAGTAAATCTCAAAAGTCTCTGCCTAATTCCCTTAACCAACTTCTGCATTAGTCAGGGTTCTCTAGAGTCACAGAACTTATGAGTAGTTTCTATATAGTAAGAGAATTTGTTGATAACTTGCAGTCTGTAGTTTAACTCCCCAACAATGGCAGCAGTAGCTGTGAGTGGAAGTCCCAGAATCTAGTAGTTGTTCAATCCCACAAGGCAAGCAGGCAAAGAAGAGAGAATCTTCCTTCCAATGTCCTTATATAGGTCTCCAGCAGAAGGTGTGGCCCAGATTAAAGGTGTGTACCACCACACCTGGATCTGGGGATTTCTTTGTCCCCGGTGACCTTGAACTCAGAGATCTCCTTGCCGTAGTCTCCTGGGATTCATAGCCACTATGCCTCAAGATCTCCATGCCAAGATCAAGATCAGAAACTTGTATCTCTCAGCCTCAAGATCTGGATCACAGGTGAGCCTTCTGATTCTGGATTGTAGTTCATTCCAAATATAGTCAAGTTGACAACCAGAAATAGCCACTACAATTCACCCTTTGTCAACTTGACAAAAATAATATCTCATGTCCACATGAAACAATAACAAGTCATGAATATGCCTAACATGATAAAACTATTCCTCATACAATTGCAAATGCATTTGTAAATTTACAATGGGTCAATGTACCTTGGGAACATTCTTTTAGTATCTCAACTTTTATCAATTGATGTTAAAGAAATTGGAAGAAAGACAAATGTGTTCTTAACAAAATAAAACAGAAGCATTCATATTACTTCATAACCCTCATTTCTGCAAATGGTTATGTGGCCTTAGTTGTTATTTATAACTACCTTCCTCTACTACCCATTCTGTATTTCCTCTACCCTCTGCAATCACCTCAGCAGGTCTTGGCTCTTTTCCTGGAGGAGTGACCCATACCTTCATTCCTGATGGGTCTGTGTCCTTTGTCATCCTGCTTGAATTAGGCTGTTGCAGTTTCTCATTGACTTGAATCACAGGACGTGGTAGTACTAAGAGACACCCCAAGGGATCTCCTGCACTCCAGACACAATCCTTCTTACCTCCATTGTGAAGAGGCAATCCAATTTCCCCATGGTAATCTGGATCTAACCTCCTACATGGTGGTGCTGGCTAGTGACTTCTGAGAACTGTGGCAAAAAGCGGAAACAAACAAAAACCCCCATTTCTAAATCCATGTGGGAGAGCAGAATGAGGCCATCTCCTAGAGACAAATGCCCCTAAGTGGGGTTAAAGGGGACCTCAGTATTCTTCCCCACCAGAGTTGTCTTCAATCAGAAATATCACAAGTCCCATCAGTGAGCGATGACAACTCAACACAGCCAAGGTTGTCTTGTGAATTGAACCTTGGTTGTAAGCCGCTAGTTTTCAATGCAGAACTTACTTAACACTTACTGTTGTTTTATTGTAAGACGTCATGAAGGTTACATATTACTAGTTTCTTCTAGATTTTCTAATTTATCAGAATTAATTGAATTTTTTTTTAATTTTTAGACATGATCTTTGTTTGAGGTCCAGGTTGGCCTCAATCTCTAGCTACTTTTGCTAAAGCCTGACCTGTGATGGGATTATAGGCATGCGTCACCATGCCTGGAAAACTAATTTACCTTTACTTGGGAATTTCAGAACCAATTTAAATCTATTCAAACAGAATTTGGGGGCAAAAGGTCAATACAATCTATATTACAAACAGTCTCCTGGTTTTTAGACACTCATACAGTTGGTAGAGATATGGGAAATATGGCAAAGTATCTTCTTAAAATTTTTATTTTTATTATGTTATTTTATTCTCTCTTATTAACATCTGAAAATTACACAAGTTCATGGGAATATAAAATTTCAGTTTCCAAGATGAATAAATTCTGAAGATCTATTGTATATGAGTACCTATAGTTGATGATATTTTATTGGATAACTAAGTATTTTTAAAACACTTAACACTTTAAAAGCACCTTAAAAACTCTACACATAACTTAAAACACCCTAATAGCTTGGGATGATTTGACCTAAATCCCAACCCGAACCTGGTTGGATGAGGTACCATTACTGCCTTGTGTGAATACCTCATTGTCCTTTGAGGAGTATGGATGGAAGCAGGAGAGAGATTGCTTAGTATCCATTAAGACAAGCACAGACTTTCACATTTTATTTAGAATGAAACCAGTGTGATAAAAAGAAATCATTACTACATGTGGAAAAGAAACCATAGCTCCCTAACAAAATAAATTTTTAAGGAACAGAAATACATCCTAGCTGTACGACGCTCTTCCTACAGACAGCTACCTCTGAAGAGGAAGCCAGTCTGCAAGCACATCCTGAAAAAAGAAACAAGTTCCTGGCAGATCTAGGAAAATCTCTTGCAATCTCAATGTGCACTCGATGGGGCAAGCTTGCTTTTGATCCAGGTCTGATATCTCTTAGTCAATAGGGTATAAATTCCAGGCTTGTTGGCGATGCCACATTTATAGCCTTGAGAGACTAAGGCGTAGAAGACACCTTTGCAGATCAAAGGGCCACCAGAGTCACCCTGGAAAAGGAAAATGTGCAGACACTTAGCGACAAGCTGAAGGTAAAGTATCCTAAAGCCATCGTTATTTTCAGGTATTTTTAATGGTCTTTGGTTTCTTTGTGACTTAGAGTACCTAGCAACAGCCTCTTATTCAGAATAGGCTCTCATGTCTGTGTCTGTCTGTCTGTCTGTCTGTCTGTCTGTCTATGAATGCTTCTCTTTGTGTTTGCCTCTCTGTCTATAACTATGAATTTGTCTCTATGTTTTTATGTTTGTTTTTATGTTTCTGTTCTCTCTGCCCTATGTCCATGTATACGTTCCCCTTTGGCGATCAATGAATTCTGAGCTTTACTAGTTAAAAAACAAGTAGGCGTAAAGTTTTAAATTATGCACTGAAATAAAGGAAAACCTCAAAATTGTGAATTTCAGTTTAATACTAGTGGGCTTGGAATCAAATTATCATTGAGATCAGCAGAAAAGAAAAGCAGAAAGCAGTAAATGCTGTGATGGAAGAGGCCATGTCTCTCCCTAATTTTGTCATTCTCATAAAACCGAATTCTGTCATAATTGAAACTCTCATAGAGGAGATGCTGTGGCCTTTTGGTCAAAGAATTGGCTTTCAAATACGAGGACCAGTTAAGGATGCTTACCTTGCAGGAATCCTTTTGGCCTCTGGCATCTCCTGCACATATCATGTCCTTGGTTATAAGAGGTTTGTGGTTGTAGTAGCTTTGGCTGTTGCAACGTTTTCTACTTATTATGGTAACAGTGACTTCTTGAAGGGTATCAGAAGCAATTAACAGATCTGGCTTGGTGGCTCCCCAGCCAGTAACCTGGCATTTGGTTCCATCTCTAATAAAGTTTTTGGATCCCAGGTGAAGCAGTTGGACATGCTTGTTCAGCTCTGCAGCAGTGTGAAGCTAAAGGATAGAAAAATGAGTAAAGTATTCTTCCCCAGCTGTTTCTCTGTAATTAGACTTCATTTGACTGTGCTTTGGTGTGTGGTCCCTCTGCCTCAGGGAGGTGTCCATCCCTCTAAATAATGGTCTGATGCTGTAGTTTTGACTGCTGTTTTTTCTGAATGTGCTTTCCATTCTCCATGGAGATCACTGGTGTTTGGGGAGAGGACCTTATAGAGAAGGAGCTCCACCCCGTCTGGAGCAAACTGGCCTTTGCCCTGCATTGGATGGTTTTCTATGAAATGACATGTATAGGTCATGACTTTGTGGGCTGGGCTGCTTCCTGCTGGGTAGGGCCCTAGAATATGGTCTAGACTACATTTGGACTGGACAAAGTGTGGTCTAGACTGAGTTTTAACTTATTTCTGATTCCCCAAAGTCACTTGGTTGGCTCTTTTACACAAACAACGGTTGTAGTTTTCCGTTGCTAACGTAAAAAGCATTTGGGGGAAAAGCATTTCCAGTGGACCTTTGGGTCTGCTGACATGTTGCTCTTCTATATAGTGAGCGGTAATGTTAGTTTCTCTTGTATAAATATACCTTTGATGCATTTATGGTTTTTTTTTCTTTCAGGAGAGGATATGGGATAACATGAGCCTTCATAGAATATTTCAGTCACCACAAACATGGGAGGGTGCTGCTGAAATGCCTTCGTGTGGTTAATTAACTGAGCAATCCTGTGTGAGAATATGGAACGGACTAAAGGAAGCAAATCGACCTACCTTTATCAGCATGATGTCATGGGATTCGGAACCAAACTGAAATCTTGAGAATGGGATGAATCTTTTAATCTCAAATGTCTGTTTCATGGGCTCGTTCTTTGAAAGAGAATGTGCTCCTAATACCACTGTGGGAGAGTGGCCTTTGGGAAACCTGAAAGGGCAAAGACAACGGAAGTAACACCGGGATGGCTGAACCTTCCAGTCAGAGCAGGAGATGATGGCGAGCCACAGGCATGAAGGACCAAGGGTAGATTCCATGAGGGAGGCTCCAGTGGATCCCATCACCAGTCACTGGCATCTCTGTCCGCGTGCTCTGTTACTAGAACCATCGCATCTTCCCAACAGTGTTAGGTGTTTAAATGACTAAGGTGCAGACATACACAGGCTCATCTGTCTGAGGATTTTCCTTTTAGGCAACCAAGGACATTCGAGTACGTTCATAGCCAGTAGTGAAAATAGAAATGATTTTGTTTGGGGAGTTTTGACAACACGTTTGATCCACTTGCGTGTTATAGATATTTCCTCTTGTAGTGTACTTCCAAAGGCCACTTCAAATACTTTCTGAGAACAGAGAAGGTGCTAAAAATGACTGAGAGATGTAGCCTAGTGGTTGAGTGCTTGTCTACCATGCACAAGGTCTTGTATTCTACACACACACACACACACACACACACACACACACGCGAACAAGAAAAGAAAGAAAGCAACACAGCAGGGCAGTTCCCATCATGAGAAACAAAGGTAGGATTATTACAAATTTTTCTGTAACTCAACTGGTTACATAGTCTTGCCTTGAAATGAAACTCTTATTTTTTTTTTTTTTCGACTGGGAAAGAGATTGAGGCAGGGTACAGCAGAAATACATACACTTATGCACACAGATCTGTATTCTTAAGATGAAAAGGGGGCACAGGAATGTAAAGCAAATGAAAGGGTTGGCTGTCTCAGGTTCTGAGAACGTGCCCAGGCCTGCTCTGGGAGGATATGCACATGGCAGACCTGTGACTGCCTGGAATTACCACTTCTTGGTTTCTACCAAAAGAGCTTATTTGGGGAATTCCAGCTCTATTTGCTGAAAAGTTTGCCTATTGCAAAATCAGAATGGGGATGGAATTTCTCAGGGGATGTGGATTGGATTTCCTAGGATTGATTCAAATTCAAATCCAACATGCCCACTAACCCAAAGCTCTGGAGAGCAGAGGAAATACAAAATCCCTAGGATCAACAGGCTAGCAGGAAAGTGGGTGTGTCTATAACAGCTCTCCCATGGACAGACAGACAGACTGTTAGATGTGAGGTCCAAACATTGCTGGAGAAGGTAGATTCGGATGAAGAGAGACGGCCCAGATTTCTAGTGCTCATTTAGCCGTTACCCAGTTCCTTGACTAGCTGTTGACTTTGAAATGTTTTGGTGAATTTTTGTCTCTGTTGAGACAGGCTAAACCCAAGTAGACCATTATGCTCCTTGAGTTTCAACTGTCCCACCATGCTCAGGTTTTCTGCCCATGGAGTGAATGAAATTACCTGAGTTCTAGAATTCTCTCTTCTTTTTTTTTTTTATTTTGTTGTTTGTTTGTTTATTTGTTTGTTTTGAGAAAGAGTTTTTTGATTTGTTTTTGTTTGGTTTTTTTGTTTTGTTTTGTATTTGAGACTGGGCTTCTCTGTGTAACAGTCTCACTTTGTAGACCAGGCTGGCCTTGAATTCACAGACATCTTCTGACTCTGACTCCTGAGTGCTGGAATTAAAGGAGTGTTCAACACCACTTGGTGATTCTACCTCTTTAAAAAACAAACAAAAAACCTTTTACACACACACACACACACACACATACACACACACTATGGTGTGTGCAGAGGTCAGAGGACAACTTTCGGGAATCAGCTCTCAGATTGTCAGGCAGCATGGTAGTAAGCAAGCACCTTTACTTAATGAGTCCTCTCACTGGATCCATCCCTTTATTTGAGTTTAGCTATGAATTTGCACAGAAGAGAAGAAATGGTGCCAGGCTCATTACTTTGTACATCACAGGGTTTTTTTAGGAGTGGCCTTACACATGTGAAGGGATTCGTATGGAATTTTCTGAGTCCCACCCTGACTGTCCCAAAGCAGAATTACATACAGAGCAGAAGCACAGTATTGCCTGTAGTATGTTTTTCTTTTACTATCTGCTGAAGATGACTGCCAATACTGCCTCAATGGGGCCCAACAATGCTCTTCTTGGTACAAAAGTCCTAGGGGTGCATTTGTCTCATTAGACCTCTAACTGGTTCAAAGTGACCCATCTCACACAGGGAGGATACAGGACCCAAACCCTGGGTTTGTATCCCAAGCTGTTTCTGTGTTGCCTGCCTCCCTCACTCCTTTCTTTGTGTCAAGCTTCTCTGGCTTCTTGCTTCTTTGGCTAGCCTGTCTTGACGTTGAGCAGAACTCCTGGTTGAAGCCGTTCCTGAGGTCTGGCATCAAAGGCAGGGTTCCAATTTCTTGGAATCTCTCTTGGCCCAGACAGAGAAAAGTTGCTGGCTGTCAGAAAGCAAAATACTCCCAGTCTTGTCCCACCATCAATACAAGGGAGAGGACCATCATGTTCATTGCTGGTTATTGCCAAGAAAAGCTACCATGACAATATAGTTGATAACATTTGCTAAGGTCTTGTATTCTGTGCTATACTTTTCATACATTTTACTAAAGCAGAAGCCTACCTGTGAAGATGATCTTCAGTTTACAGACGAGGAAGTGAAGGTTCAGGTAAAATGAACCCAAGAACGTAATAGATGGAGGCTCTGGTATGTATGTCCAGGCAGGGTAAGAGTCCTGATTTGGGCAGGGGATGTGATAGAAGAGTGCTTGCCTAGCAGGCCCAAGGCCTCTTGTTCAATTCGCCAAGGGTTCAAGTACCAGAGCAACAAAACAAAAAACAATTCCGTTAGTTTGCCTTTGAAGCTGGGTGTGTGTGGAAGGGACTCTGGAGAGTTCCTTTGCTCAGGCAGGACAGAGGAAGAAGAGGAAGAGGCAGCACTGGGGTAAGAGGTTTGCTTTTGACCAGTTAAAGTAAATTATGCAAAAGTGGTTTTTTTTTTCTTCGTAATGCGTTTCCTCTGTCTTTCTTTCTCTGTAGACAGAGTCTTGATAGGAGTTCCAGGCTAGCCTTAAATTAAAAATCCTCCTGCCTGGCCTTCAGAGTGCCACCATAGATAACTGGCAAGACACTGACGAAGGGATAAAGTACATGGGTGGAGAGTGAGAGAGAGAACAAGAGAGCGAGAGAGAGAGAGAGAGAGAGAGAGAGAGAGAGAGAGAGAGAGAGAGCAAGTTTAAGAGCGAGAGAGCGAGAGCAAGTGAGAGAGAGAGAGAGAGAGCGAGCGCCATCCTCCCAAATTTGGCTTACTCTGTCACTGTGCTTAAAGGGAGGCCTGGCTTGGTAAACCATTCCCTCAGGAGCCTTTGAGTACATTTGTGGGAAGCCACCATTGAACTGTTTCATAAATATTTTGAATTTCATAAGACTTAATATTTTTCCAAGCAGTGATCTGCCTACATTTTTACACCCAAATCTCCCTCGGAGGAAATTCGATCCACATATTTCAGAGTTGTTTATGTGCCAGCCATTTCAAATAATATTTAGCAACATTTTTTTTTAAAAACTCCAAGGCCTTTTTTTTTTTAAATGCCAAAACCACACTTCAGTTCTCCCTCCCTCCTTCCCCTCTCCTCTTTCTTCCTCCCTCCTTTCCTCCTTCCCTTTTTTCCTCCCTTCCCTTTCCTTTATTATTATTACTTTTTAAACTGTCTTCCTCCCCCAATTTGGGAATATGGTTTTCTTGAGTTGAATCTTCTAGACAAATTCTTAAAAATAACTTAACATTATCACCTTCCTCCTGGGACTTCATGCATCATGTGCACATTTCACACTTAGCCTCAGCCTGAATCCTCTCCTTTGTTTCCGCTTTCCTCCAGCATCTGTGGAGCATTTCTCCGTATTGCTCGCTGTCTGGGGAGCTATGAGTGAGCACATATTTGCAGGGGCACAAACTCTGCCTTGAATGGAATTTTCTAGTGCTGCAGAGAGCAGGACAGAAGTCTGTGTGGGTGGGGGAGGGGTGCAAGGGTGAGTGAGGATATGATGGTGGAATTCAGCAACTCACTCTGTAGGAATAGAAGGGTGTCTTTCTCCCTTCTCAGGCTGCCGAGCTTCCAACATGGTTCCACTAAAAGGGGACAAGCACACACTATCCAAAGCAGGGGGAATCAAGTCACTTGTTTTGTTTAGATGGTATTGATGTCTATATAGCAATCTTTGAAAGCCGTGTGTGTGTGTGTGTGTGTGTGTGCTCACGCACGTGTGTGCATTAATTAAACTGTCTATCAATCCTTGGCTAGTTTGGAGTTCAGTATGTAGACCAGGCTGGGCTTGAATCCACACAGATTGCCTGCCTCTGCTTCCTGAGTACTGGGATTAATGGCATATGCCACCATGCCTGCTTATTTTTTATTGCTTTTATTCACTCTATTTTGTGTGTGAGTATTTTGCTTATATGTATGTTTGTGCACCACATGCATGCATGGTGCATGCAGAGGTCAGAAGAGAACATTGGATGCCTGTAACTAGAGTTGACAGATGGTTGTGAGGCACCATTTGGGTGCTGGGAATCAAACCCTGGTTTTCTGTAAGAGCAGCGAGTGCTCTTAAGCACTGAGCCATCTCTCCAGTCCCTAAGACAAGCTCTTAAGTGAAGGGCTATACTGTTTTAAGGAAAAGAGAAGGTGACCTGGGATCTAAGCTTTAAAAAGCAAATATGGAAACAGAAGGAACAAAATCAGAATACTCAAGTCAATGCCACATCAGGGATCTACTGGCTATCTTTACAGCACGCCAAGGTAGATTTTTATAGTTCACCTTAAGCTGAAAGGGACTTGGAGGTTGTCCTCCATGGTCTGAAAAGCTTCCCTTTAAATATCCCCAAGCCTAATAACCTGCTCTGCTTGCATTTTATAAACCTTCTGTAACTGTGCTCCCCCAACCTCAGGAAGTGGCTGTTTCTTACTGCTATAATTTTTAAAGTGTAGGCCTTGGAATTCTGGAGTGAAGGGTAAGGCTGAGGAAGTAAGGGATCTGCAATTCCATTGCCAGGGCACACACTCATAGTGTCATCTGCAATATACCTCTGCTTACTAAATGTGTCAAATATTCTGAAATAACCTAAGTAGAAACACCAGTTCTTCTCAAAACCCCACCAAATAAGAGATAGCATCTTCCCCTTGCACGCAGGCTTCCTCTCATCAATTTCAGTTGCTTGTGGTCAACTGCTATTGAAAACATTATGTGAAATATTCCAGAGATAAATGATAGACACATTTTAAATTGCATACGAGAGTAGATGGATTTAATTGTCCTTTTATCGCCATTGCTAATCTTACTGTACTTAATTCATTGACTAGACATTATCCTATGCATGTTCTTCATCCTGGACATGGACAACGATGTACATGGAGAAGCACAGGAGACTCACCAAGAGTAGCAGTGGGCAGCTGTCAGCACCCACTGCGGATGGATCAGGACTCCTCCACAAATATGCTTGCTGCGGTACTGGATGGAAGCCATAAATGGCCTGGAATGTGGCTGTACTTCTCTCCCTCCAATGATTTCAGTATGGAAACCTGTAAAAGTAAGCCAAAAGAGTTTACATGATCCAGCAGTGGCATCCAGCTCTCCAGACAGCAGGCACTGTTCTCCTTATCTTCTTTTTCAAGACCAATGAAACAACGGTACTCAACACTTACTATACTTTTCCCGGTTAGCAGTTGTATAAACAGAAACAGGTAAGAGGGAAAACAGTGTTTACAGTGTAACAATGTAATCGCTAAAGAGTCACATGGTTTCACATGAGCCAGGAATACGAGATACTTACACTCTGAAGACATATAAACCCCAGCAGCCAGGAAAACCAGAGCACATGAAGAAAGCTTCATAATTACAGGGCTTTGGTGTTAAAGAGCACGGACGAACTGCTTGCTTCGTGGTTGATGAAGGAGATTCTGAAGATGGGTTTTGGTTCTTGTTGTTCTTGCAAGGTTCTCACCTCACACGTCCCAGACGTTAAGAGTTTTCACACCCAAGGTTCCAAACTATCTATCAGTCTGGGGGGGCAATTTTCGGTGCTGTCAGTGTGCAGTGGAGAACTCATTTCTGGATGAGGGTTCCTGGTACAAATGAAGAAATAAAAATTACTCAAGCCAGGAGACCCCAGTGAATTATAGACAGTTCAAAGCTGTTCTTTGCTCTAAAGCAGTGGCTCTCAGCTTGTGGGTCATGACACCTTTGAGAGACTCATATCAGATGTCCTGCATATCAGATATTTGCACTATGATTCATAGAATAGCAAAATTAAAGTTATGAAGTATCAAAGGAATAATTTTATGGTTGGGGGGTCACCACGACACGAGGAACCGTGTCAAAGGGACGCAGCATCAAGAAGGTTGAGAACCACTGCTCTGAAGCAACACTTACGTTTTCCTCGGCATAAAATGGTGCCTGTCATGCTTATTTCCTCTCCGTGTCTCACTTGGGCATAGACTTATGATGGAGAAGGACAGAGCCTTGTACAGATCCTCATGGCTTTACAGTGTGACTTAGCTGTCACGGGAACGTCATCCAGAGAAACCCATGTGTTTTGTAGCATGCACATTCCTTGTCTTGCCATTTCCTTTAAATGTGACCAGATTTGGTTAAATTTTAGTTACATTTTTTTGAGATTTAATAATGTTATTAAAGAGGAATATTGGCAATGTATTTTTATTCAAACTCTCTTTGACTCAATTTTAATTGAAAATGACCACATGTTTACTCAGGGCCTTAATAATGTCTTTTAAAAGGACTATATTTCGTCATTCTTCCCAGGAACAGATGACAACGCAATGCCAGGTCTTTTCATGGACCTTTTGTCCACCAGACTCAGGATTCTGCAGGAGTCTGTCCATACTTAGTATGCAAGTACATACATTATAATGTAGGTTCAAACATACTTAGATAAAATTAGGCATGAAAGCCCCATTTTTTTCTAGAAACATTTACCAAAACTTAAAAACTTCTATTTTTCTAAGATTTATGGAATCTGTCTTTTATTTAAAAAAAAAATAAAATCAAAACTGTTATGCTTGGTAGATCTCAGAAGAATCTTACAAAATCATTCTTCTTTGATAAGAAAATAAGAATGAAAGTTAATATTATTCATTATATAGCATAATTTAATGGTATGTAAGTTGAATGCCTTAAGCGATTTTCAAAATTCTCTTTCCTTGATCATTTGTATCTTCGTGTCTCTATCTGTGAAGAAGGCAGCATAGCAATTATACAATAAACTGAGGTAAACTGAGAGTGGTTCATTTGCCCAAGGCCACAGCATCGGAACTGGGCCAAATCTCCTGGCTTGCCTGCAGTAGCATGATGTTAGTAAGCATATGTCAGCACACAGCACTGGATAAGCCGTATCTCTTGCAGCCACACACAACTTTCCAAACACTGAGCAAAAGAAACACACCCAGGGCAGTGATTTCCTGCTAAACCAAGAGAGCAAAAAAAGGTGAGACGGTGAGAGGGAGCTTGAGAAAAGCCACAGACTTACCAAACCTGTTAGCACCACCCGAATGTCCCATGAACTGTCAACCGACCTCCGCCTCTACCGACGAGCTCTCTACTGATCCTTCATGTGCCTTTTCCCCAAGTTGTCAGGTGGGCGTGATCACACCTGCTCTTAACCATATCTTCTTGATGCTGGGAACAGAAGAGGGTGGGTGATTTGTAAAATGATCTGACTGCAAGTCGGATGTAAACTGGAAAGGACAGTTTTAGCATGGCGGGGTTGAAGCATCTCTGCCAGCTTACTTCTTTACAGTAAGGACTCACAACTGCAGAGCTTTTATTACAGATCGCTAAATACTTTCATCTGTATTTCCAGGGAGGTGGCTGCCCCTTCATCTTGTTTTATGGATGGAGAAACTGAAGCTAAGACTGTCTAGATTACTGAGCTAGCAGATGGCCCCTAAACCCTTATGCGCTGGCTCCAGACTTCATGTTTCCTTCAACCTGACCACACTGTCTGCCCTGTTCCCTCTGAGAACCCCCTGGCTTAGACACTTCAGGAGGCAAGCTGGCTGTGCAGAAGGGAAAAAGGATTTAGCTTTGGACACTGCAATTAGACATGGGTGAGATTTAGTTCCGTTGAGAGGAGAGGCTCGTAATTCCTTTTTGTAGCTGACCTGGAAAATTCTGAGAATCATGTTGGTTTATAATAATGAGTTATTGGGTTTTGGCTCTAGACCCCTGTGCTAGTTAATAGTATCATTTGTTATTGTATTTGGGATCCTGGATTTGAAGACAGTGGGCTGTGTAACACGATGAACTGGGTCATCTCATTGATTTCTGGGTGTTGGTTTTTACTCTGTTGAGTCTGCTGTGGGGAGAGCTATGTTTGCTTTGGATGGCTTTTATAGCAGCTGTACTAGTCGGAGCAAGTACACGGCGCTCAGCCTGTGACCGGTTCCTCACACCATTGCGTCCTGGTCCTGCGGTCTTCTGCTGTGGTGTTCAGCTGTCCCTATTAGCTGCTCTGAGAGAAGTTTGTGACAATCCTGTATTTTAGGAGAAGCTGATAAACCAGCTGTCCTGAGGTTTCCAACACCACATGTCTGATTGTCCCTTGGGAGCTGTCTTTGGTGGCTCAGGCACCTGCGTGCAGATTCTTAAGCCACACTATTTAGGGACGTACAGTGTGGGTGGCAAACTTGTGCCAGTCTGAGACCTGTTTATGACTCATTAGGAGCTAGACAAAGACAGAAACTGAAAGTCAGCGTTGGAAAAGTTTCAGCAGTTCAACAAGGCTTTACGTCCATTTTTTAAATGAAACACAATTTGTTCAATGTTATTAAAAAGTTAGGCATGTCTTTTATATGCTTTTGTTATTTAATCAATTGTTATATTCATTTATGTTTAATAAGAATGATAGTCCGTGGTGGACTAAAAGTAAAAAACAAGTTACAACGCACATGGCCGGCCTGCCCCACAGTAGGACAAAGGAGCTCTGAAGACAAGACTAGGAAATAGATGAGTGTCCAAACTTTCCTGCTGCTTTCCTTTCTGTGTCCTTTTCAAAGCTGGTTTTAAAAAGAGATTTACTTTATTTTATTTTATTTTGGTTCTGTAAATTTGTATCTGTCTATGTGGGAGGTATCGGCACGTGATGCAGGTGCCCGAGGAGGTCAAAGGGCAGCGGATACCCCGGAGCTGCAGGAGTTACAGGAGGTTGTGAGCCACCTGACTTGGGTGCTGGGAACTGAACTTGGGTCCTTCGGAAAAGCAGAAAGCTCTCTTAATTGTTGAGTCATCTCTTAAGCCCCATTTTAAGATTACTTTAAATTCCACTTATTTACTAAGGTTGTGTGTGTGTGTGTGTGTGTGATGCATGCTGTAGCATGTGTACGTAAAGGACAACGTATGGGAGTGGATTCTCTCCTTTCACCATGTGGACCCAGACACTGAACTCTTCGTGTCAGGATTGGTAGCAAAAGCCTTTACCCACTAGCCATTTTTGCACACCACACACATACTTAAGCCTCTTTTGAAAGGATCTCTTATTGTGTCCACGGCTTTGCAGCCCTCCCCAGCCTCACTGATAGAATTTTACTGCATCTCCTTCTTAGAGCCCTCCATTTTGGGGGGCTTGATTTCTGTCTGGTAGGAGTTGAACTGATTTGTTTATCAGTTAAACTAACAATTTAACTAATTTGTTTGATAATGGTTTAATCTGTTAGCAATTATGGTAAAACTCTGGTTCGGCAACTGAGCTTGGGAAAACATTAGGGTACTCTGTAACAATGTGATGTTCAAAGGTTCTAAGAAAATGTAAATCCCGTAGCAGGTTACAACCATCTCACCAACAGAGGTCTTGAAGTGAATGACCTTAAGAACAAATGCAAAAAGAAAGCAACAACAACAACAACAAAAATAAAGCAAATAATCAAGGGCACCCTGAGCGTTAGAGCTGCACTTTAGTATAAATTGGTCCTGAGAGGCTGGAGGCTGCATCAAGGCTTCCTCCTAAGCCACTTAGATGTGAACGGTTTAGAAGACTGCAGTGATGGTGATGGAATCTGTTTTATCTTTCTCTACTTCAACGTTTAATCAGAACATATTTTGCATTATTATCTTTATTTAATATTAAGTATTATTTTCTAATCCACCACCTCTGATTCAGAAATACAAAGAGCAGTTTAACACCCTCCACTTTCTCCCCTTTCTGAGTCACTTGTGAACTGACCGGGAGGAGGACGAACACTGCCCTGAGAAGATTATGACCTAAGCGGAAGCCACAGGCGAACACCTCATGGACCTGGCGAGCGGGATGTCTGCTGGAACAGCCTGCCTGGTTGTCCATCATCTACCTTCTTCATTCCCCAGCAAGCTGCTGCTTTATGATACTTTCCTGTTCTTCTTCAGGGTGGCCTTGGATTCCATTGTCTGAGTTCAAATGTTGTGAAAGAAATGGGGAAAGTCCCGCAGAGGGTGGTCCCTATGATGTCACTGGACCCAAGGCAGGTCGCTCACACTGTCTGCAATGTTTTCCTTAAAAGATTTACACATGTGAGAATCCTGTCAATAGGGATGACTGCCAAGGAAGGTCTGCAGCCTTGACCTCTCCTCCAAACTTCGGTTTTATTGGAACACATGTTTTATTGGAACATAGAGGAAAGCAAACACTATTTGGGCATAGTAGGGTGTTGGGGAGAAAACTGGGGTCTAGATGTAAGAAAAATTAAAGAAAAAATATATGGGGAAGGATTTAGTGATGAAAGCCAGAAGAACACTTACTCTTATAGGGAAGTGTAGCTCTCATACCTCATCAAAAAAAAAGCTTTCTTCTCCCTCTCCCTCTCCCTCTCCCTCTCCCTCTCCCTCTCC